CTGACGAAACTTCCCAGTGTTAGACGTGTTTTCAGGGATGGATCCAGCATGATCTGGTAGGGGGGTGCTCTGCCAGCTCTGATGTCGAGTGACTCGAGTTGTGTCGTCATGTGTGCAGCCCGCCATTAATATACAGCAACAGCAGTATTTTGACAATTTGGCAAAACAACCTCCATGTGGTACAAGTTTACTGTGTACAATATCTCATTTTGTCTCTAATATTTTTTGCTTTATCATGAAAAATAGCACACACATACCCCCTGGCCAGGGCTAGGGACTAGGGAGGGGGTGTGCACCCTCCCCCCCCAGTAAATCCATCCCTACATGTTTTGCTATTAATTGTTGCATTAACCACCCAAAAGTCTTTCAATGGTGGGTACATATTAATTGTAAGCTGTGAAGCTTTAGATTAGCCCATTGTTTGCACTCTCCCCTGGAATAGTAAAATTGTCTGATGTTAGACAGAGTAAAAGCAGGGGCGTGCCGGCAAGCGATGAGACAACAAGAACTTGTTGTGGGCCCCTGGCATTGTAGGCTCTTACATGATTCATGCCGATCTAGATTTATTATATTTAAAACAAATATATGTCAAGAGCAATTTTATTTAAACATGAACAAGGGAGATACATATAATTAGAGAATATGCAGATACATCATAAATTTCTTTATTTATCAAATCATGGATGTCATGTGGCCAGTACGTGTAACACAACTAGGCATATACTATATTAGAAAGAGGTTGTTACATGTGTCACAATGCAACTTATTAATGGGTTTAGCATATTCACATGATATTAATTAAGGGGGTGAGTTCCAATTAACTATTTAACCAAGTGAAGCCTGGTTCACATATACCTGCTGTTTGTTGATGGGCTATTGTCGTTAAAAGTTCAACTAAATAATTCACAAAAGAATGTATGCATCAACAGCTGTAAACAATGATAATGCAGGCATATGTAAACCAGGCTTAAGATGCCAACAAAATCTTGATTTTTGTAGGCTTTTGTTGTAATCAAATTTCTGTAGTTGATATTTCCAAGTTGTTATCTCTCCTCACTTATTGAAATGGTTGCTTCAACAGAAAGATCTTTTCCTTTTATATATCAATTCACTTAACATGTTGCCAAATGTCTGATGATTTGACTAAAATTAGTAAAATATAATCAAAATGTCAACACGGACAACCCCTTCATATAAATAAACATGCCAAAATAATATTCCAGAAAACAATACAATTTAATATAATTCCTTTATTAAACAAATTATACCTTTCGTATCGTTCCATTCTTCGTTTTGCGTTCGAAATTATGCCAGATAATTTCCTCAAATTGTAGTTCCTCGGCTGAACAATTGATACATATTTGTAAACATTTGGCTGCTTCGAGCGAGCGATTCAATTAAATTTGCACGTCGTTTTTAGACCGCGAGAGACATTGCGATATATAATCCTTTCAATTGACCAACTAATTTTCGTATAACTTGAATATTTCGATGCATTTTAAAACATTTTTAAAGTTAATAATACTCGCAAGCTTCGCTCCTCGCCTGAAGATTTCAAACTGAATATATAATTAGGGTCAAAAGCCTACTTAGGGGGTGGGGTACATTGACACGGCCACAAGGTACATTGACACGTCCATTTTGTTCGATTTATGGCAGGCCTCTCTCCCAGAAAATTTTTTTTTCAAAACCCATTCGCAGGCTAGAACCCATAGAGAGGCCTGCGGAGGAGGCTAGTATATAGTGTAGTAATGCAGTTGCTGTAGAATGAGATTTCCGAAAACCGAATTGAGAATAGCTAAGGAGTTCAAATTTTCAGTTAAATAGTTATACTGTTGATCATACATAATTCGCTCCATAATTTTGCTAATCTCTATACATAGTTTCCTGGAATATTCCGTTGGCCATTTTTATACAAAGGTATTACTCTTGCCATTTTCCATTCATTAGGAAAGGAGGATAGAGTTATAGCCTGATTGAAAATAAATGTCAATGTGTCTGAAATAGCTGGTGCAGCTATCTTAATAATTTTACAAGAAATTTTGTCAGTGCCAGTGGCTTTATTGCTGGTAAACCCATGCAAGAAACGACAGACATGACTGACAGTAACAGGCTGGAATGCAGCAAATTCTGGTTCAGCACTTTCAGTATATGTTTCAAAATTATAATTTGAAGTATCAATTTTGTTAGCTACATAAATCAGGGCCAATATTGGAAAAGTAATCAATAAAGCCCTTAAGTCCCCTGCAATATCTTTGAGAGTTGTAAATTTTTTCCCTCTAGATTAATCTCATTCACCACTGTTTGTTTGTTTTGCCTACCTAATAAGTTGTTTATACTTTTCCAAGCTTTTTTCGGATTGAATTTTTGACCAGCTATTTTCGAGGAATAATAATCTTTCTTGGCATTCCATATGTCATTTGGATCTTCAGCAAAAAAATACAATTGTTCCCAGTGCTGTTTTAGCAGTTCCGCAACAAAATTTTCTTCATTAAAATTTTTCATGTTTCTCATCTCTACGATATTCTCTTGTTTCTTTATAACAGAAATTTTCCTGATAGCAAATATCAACCTATGATCACTAATACCTGTGTGAATGGCACCAAAATCAGAAATTTTCTCTCGTGTATTAGTAACCATATAATCAGTTAGACTAGTGGTTGTCATGCATGCATAGTTACTCGAGTAGTTTCATCTATCTGTGTTAACTGATATAATTCATACAAAGACTTTATTTCCTTTGTTGTTATGTTATAATCTTTATCTGGTCTCAGGAAATCGCAGTTTATATCACCCAGAGTGTACATTTCTTATTTCCATTATCTACAGCTTTGATCAGTTTTTCAAATGATCGAAGAATTCTGATATAATGCACTGGGTGGTCGATAAACTGTCGTAGGCTACCAACAAAAAGTTAATTTGCTATGTGGCTTAATAATTTCAACACAAACAGCCTCCAGCCTCTTATTTTGTAGTTGATGGAGCTACGCAAGTAAATACAAACTCCACCACCATTCCTTGATCTATCTTTTCTGACAATATCAAACCATCTAGGTTAATCATATTCGTGTCTCATTAAATGCAATCAGATCAATGAACTTATTTGACATTGAAAAAATAATTTCATCTATTTTTTTAGGTAAACTAACAATATTCAGAAAAGCCATTTTAAAACCTTTTTCATTTGGAATTGAGCTAAGGGTTCTCATAAAATCGCTGCTCACATTGCCGCCCCTTGTTATATCTAATCTGCAGTTTCATCACTTGCTTTACATGGGCCAAATACATTGTCCAGTCTTTCTCGTACCCATGACTCTGGAGAAAAAATGGCTGTCATTACGACTTGAAGCCATGTTGATGTTTCTAACTCTATCAAACTTGAAGTAAGTGCAGACAGCACCTCCTAAGACTTTATCACGATTTAAATGTAGTTTTGATCTGTTTAAAGAATTTCCTGTGCAACTATTATCAATAAAAGTAATCTTATGATTAGAACATAAACCATGAACTAAATTGTTATATTGCTCAATATTTTGTTGTTTAGCTTACAATCATACCGCTTGATTGTACCTGAAACTCAACCTTCTCGGTGTGGACCTTGACTTTGTTGATGAGATTTTCCAGGTTGGCTGCTACCTTCTTGGGTTCATCACGTACCAGGTCATTTGTGCCAACATGGATGATGACGGTGCTGGACTCTTGCTCTGATTGGTGGTTTCCAAATTTCCTGGTAAGCTGGTTCACGGTGGCTCCACTGTATGAGTGTGAGATTGCCTTACTTCGAGCAGCTCTTCCAATTTTGCTTGCACCAATATTCCTGACTATGGAAACTCCTATCACTAAGACTGCTTTCTTATCAGGTTGGGCTTCCTGACTTTGTTTGGTACACTGCCAGCTGTAGCCTTTAATTTTGAACTTGTGCTTTTGCAAGAATCAGAACTGTCTGTCGGGAGATCTTTTGTCTGACCACTCTTTCTTTTTGCGACTTTGCGGCTATAATTTATTCTTTCTCCTTGCCAAACCATTTCAAGGTTTGAACATGTTTTCTTCCTCGCGAGGCGACGACCATTTTCCATCTTTATATTCGAGACGCTTGATTATGCCATCTACGACTAAGACTTTTAGTGTAGATAGATCGCCTTTCAATCGCCGTTTTACAATCAGAATTTGTGATAGACCTTCTACAACCTTCCGCCATATTGATTTTCGACTCTAACGTATATTTAGGTAGAAACTACTAATTAAAACTTACCAAGCTCCAGTAAAATTCCTTTCTTTCTTATGTTTGTGATATGAAACGTCGAAGCGATTGAGGTTAGGTGAGCCAGAGGAAAGGTTTTACGTCTGATTAAGTCGAATCATTCGGTGAATCAATAAACAGCGCGTTGTATTGTACTTCTAATATGAGTTGTATCATGTGACACAATAAGTATCAGCAATCATATCATATGACAAGCTGTCAGTTACATACTTCATAGAGTCATATGTTGCAATACCTAGATTGTTAAACAAGGAATATAACTCAAACGTACAGTATGTACCTGCTCCGCATTAAAAATGATAGCGTCCATAAACTTCTGTCGTCTTCTACGAAATTCTGCAATCTATACTTTTAGTATTTAACAGTTTAACTGCAAATTTTGAAATTTTATGACTCCTATTGGAGTCCCGCTCTTTGGGGCGTCGATTTTTAAATTTTGAGGCCTGACGTTTTCTGGAGGCATTGGGCTCTTTGGGACCCCGCGCTGAAACAATGAAACAGGGAAAAAACACCCCGTTTGGGCCCCGCTTTTTGGGCCTCGCGTTTTCTGGGGGATAAAAGTTATCAATGGATGTGAAAAGTTGTTAAAATCCGTCACTGAAGCTTCAAAACATATTATTTCATATTACAGTCGCCATTTCGTTCGAAAGCAACCTACAGCCTCCTACCGTCATGCTTGGCAGGCATCGCTATAAGGGGAAAGGTCAACCAGCGGAAATTTCCCGCCAAATGACGTCAGCACTTATTTTCATTTGGCCAAGGTTCGTGATTTAGCCAAAGATCGTAGTTTAACTCGGGCGAAAGTGATGTTTTATTGCACAGACAATGTTCCCTGTGACATGCTTATCATGCGTACTCTGAGGCGCATAACCAGATACATATCACCTTCTTTGGTCTACTCTACTCCAGTTTCAGACACCTGGAAAGCTTACTGTGACGCAATGTTACATAGCTTGGTCGTCATAGACAGAACACGCAATGTTGGGTTAATAGTCTACACCGGTACTGTACAATGAGATGACGAAGAACAGATAAAGAAAAGTGGTGTCATGGTAACCCAACTCTCGGCTTTAAACTATCTCTGGATGTCATCGAAATGTGCGATCGAAGTAAAGCTATGAGTACGAAAGGCAAAACTAAGACCTATGATGTATACGTAGACATTTCCGGAGCACGACTTTTTTAAAAATGGTAAAGATGGAAATGTAGACTTTAGGACGAGACTCGTGTCCAAAGGTGGAATTTACTGTTGGTACGAAGGAAGTAAAGAATAATTAGACAAATCGGGATTTTTCCACACGAGAACTGCGCGCCTTACCTTTCACATGTACAAGCCAATGGAAACTGCAAAGTAGACATGGAGTTGTGCAAGGCAGATGTACTTGATGTTAAACTACCCATAAAACAACGTAGTATCCCGGTGAAAGAACAAAATGTGCAGTGGAAAGATGTAGCTGGAAAAGAAGCCAAAGAGATCCGAGAGAGCCAAAAGCCTTTCGAAGACGCGATTGCTGAAAAACGGAACAGATTACGACTGTTAGACAACTATAGCAGTGCTTTCTCCAATAACAAGATCATCCACCTTAAAGATCTTCCACTGGTTTCCTACAATGTCATTGCTATGCGAGAGACCAAAACCCAGTTTGGAGAAAAGTATATTATGTTACTAGCGACAAACCAGAACGGAATGCTAGAACTCTGCTATTCCTACAATTAAATCGAAACGTATCTACGCGATAATCTAACGGATGCAGATAAAGACCAGATTCGAGATCCCAAACGAAATTATCTTACTCTTTACGAGACGCTATTGGCCGTGCTAAATGCTACTGGATGGGATCGCACTGTACAAAGACATGTTGTTGTCTACTGCAATACTTCATTACTTCATTCGGAAACGAAGTTATCGCCGACCAGGAAACTAGTTTGCTGTCTGTAAAGTTGTAGAACGTTGGGACTGAGCTGGCGTACTGGACTACGAAAAAGTACAAGTACTGTTGTTGCCTGCAAACAAGAAACGTAAAGCGAGCAAAGTCCTGGACGTCAAGCCTGTGGAGCATAAAGGACAGGAACGCGAACTTGTACTAACAGAAGACGGAACAGTGTACAAAGTCAAACGATCCAAACTAGAAAACACTGTCAAAATCGGACAATATGTTTAGGAACTGAACTTATTTGTGTAAATAATTGTTATACTTTAAAAATTATGATCTAAACGTAATCCGTTGTCGGTGTTAATTTATGGATGCATCCAAATAAAGCATTGTCCATAACACGAATATTTCGCTCTAAAAATGTATACATTTTCGCATTCGCCATACCCCCTTTTCGCCCTTTTGAAGAATTCTGACATCTCCGTATCCTGATACATCATGTTGGCCGTATTCGGGGAAGTTTCAAGCTTTTGTTGCTGCTCTTAACGATTAAGCACGTCCTCAGGAACCAACACCATTCGTTTTGCGTGCTTCAAAGTTTCGAGTACACTTAACACAGGTGGTAAGAGAGCTGCCAACAAATTCCCACGTTTTTTATTAAGGTTGACACTTTTTACTCGCTAAAGCACCGAGATGCGTCTTGTAACGTGCTAAACGTTCCTTTTGACGAGATGTTACTGGGATAACGCTTTTAAGTAAATTCATTGAACACTCACAAATAGGCTAGTCGTGATGACATTCGCAGAAACGTTATCGATAGGCAATTTTCGCAATTTAGGTTTAGATTTCACTATGACTTGCAGATAAGGAAGACTTTCTCACATGCGCTTTGACATCTTGATGATGAGTGGGGGAAAGACAGGGGGCGGGAACCCGGAAGAATAATGGCGGGAAGCGGGAGGAGACGGAGCGGGATGCGGCTTTAACTTTCTTAATGACTTTTTAGTCCCTTTTTAAGCAAACTGTCAAAAATCAGAACCAAACATTATTAATACTTATATAGAGCTCAAGACAGTAGCTGGGTTTCAGTCACGTGGTACTTTTACCGCTTGGTGGTCAACTCCAAAAGGAAAAACAGTTATCAGAGCAAGTTAATTGTTCATTGTAGATCTTACTGACTTCCTCATAGGCTGCAAAAGAGTTTTTTATACAAAGAATCCAGCCTCGTACCCAGGCGCTATGTGCTGTTCTATGGCTTGCGCGGCCTTCGCGTGGGCCGCGTGGATTAATTTGATCGATTTCGTGGTTAGGCGCCTGGCAGAATCCGTGTCGATTTCTGGAGCGGATATCGATTTCTGGAGCGGACTCGATCAAGTGGATTTTTGGCGGTTTGAAATACCACTTTTCGTTGAAAACTGTATGACGCTAATTAATCTTTCAAAATAATAACTGTTCAATGTAAATTTGTGCGAAAATCGTTCTTATTTAAACTACACATATTAAAACACTGTCTATATATATTTAATATATCAAACAGTTCTAGTGTAAATTCGTTTTCGGGAGTAATCTACGTAGCCTTCGTTGTTTCAGTCGCTTTATCGGGATTGAATATGTCACAGAAATTTTATTGCAATATGATGAAAGGCATGAAAATATACAGCTCAAGAGGCTCAGAGAACGCGGTGGCCTAGGCGGCGGCAAACAGTTTATATTTGTAAACAGTCACAACAATAGATATATTCGTATCGTCCTGTAGAGTGTAGTACATTCGTTTACGTTTATTATACTGGATTTAAAACATGATGAGAATGATTTGCAAACAAAACATGAATTGGCAAGTAATAAAAAGCGATATATCCCGCACGACAACACCTAGCTGGCCTGGCCAAGGTCAAAATGAAAATAGTTATAAATTTGAATGGTTCGCTGTGGAAACACTGGAGTTATATTATAACTGTTACGACCGCGGCAAAGCGTGGCAGTGCTAGTAAATACTCATTAAATGTCCTTAAGACAAAGAGAAAACTACAAAACGTGATATTACAAAATTAATAGGTTACAAAATTACCACAAAATAAATTTACTCACAATTTTATCGAACTAAGATCTTGATGACGTATTATTTTAATTACATGACCGAGTGTTATCTAGCTTGGGATGACTCATTTTACATTTTTACGCCTAGAGACTCTCCACGTGAAAGGTCTATGTTCATGAGACCTCATGCAGGCAGCTGCTCTCTTTAAACAAATCTGCCCACAAGATAAACTAGAGGAAACAGGTCAATCAAAACATGACATCTTCACATACACAACTGCAGCTAGTTTAACAAACTGTCATAGCCTAATGGAAGAAATAATTAATGTTTTCCGAAGAACCAAAATATTTACGTTACTTTGATTTGTGACAAAATATCCATTATCCCTTCTCATTATGCTTAGGATAATGTTTGCTTGCCCAAACATTTCACCTACACTCAAGCAAACATCTTGTGTTATTTTATTTTTTACCTAAAATTTTATGTTGATAAGTGATAATGTTTCGTAACATTCCTTCACACCTGGAATAAGCGGCCCTCAGCTTCGAGTTGTTTAAACTAAATTATTACCTAACTACAGGGGTAATCTACAATAATATATATAATATATATGCACCTCAGGGGTAATCTACAATAATATATTTTAGCTATTACACGTGAGAATAAGCTAGGTAAATCACACCAAAATGAATGTGAAAACAAAGCATAAAATTGTTTGTTTTCCTGAAAGTATATGTACCAGGGACTAATTAAAATGGATGATTTTATAGATAGATAGATCTATAAATCTTAATTATTAAATCTTAATTAATTAATTAATTAATTAATTAATTAATTAATTAATTAATTACAACCCACGGGTTGAATTACGCTTCTAACTTTACAATAAATATTTACTTTATCTAAAATACATTGTAGAATTATGTTGTATAAAACTATTTTTAAATCTATTCGTCCTACTAATAGAAACGTTAAAAATGTTCTCTTTCCTCATATTATAATTTGAAAAGTTCTTATACTTGGTAGTAATTCGTAAAGCTATATGACTTTCGTCATTTGCTTGCAATGTTATTAAATATTTTACTTGAGTCAAATCCCGCTTCTACCAAAGCTTCTGCATAAGGTAACGTTGGGGAAGATGATATGAAGGGCTCGCTTCTGTAACAGATAATTGGGTAAGGAATCGTGGAAAACGGGACAAGCATATTCCATCACAGGACGCACACAGATCGGGTAAAATGTTAGTATATCCTTTACACAGATTTTTGTTAGTAGTAGTAGTAGTAGTAGTAGTAGTAGAACTTTATTTATCCACGCTGACCCCGTCAACCGTAGCTGATTTCCACGGGGGGCGTGTGCCAGAAAATTATTTTACATGCAGAATATGATAAGGATAAGCTAAGCTATTACAGTAATATATAAATTTAAAAGATATAACAAATGTTTTGAGCTATTTACAGGTAAGTTATATTTACAAAGGTTACCAAGCACTAATGTGAGCAGCGATTTTATTTCGAAAGGAAGAAAATGACTTGCTTTCCCTAATTTCTTTTGGTATACAATTCCAAATGTTTGCTCCGTCGTACATAAAACTATTTTTCATGCTAGAAGACCACTTGAGACATCCCGAAGGTGGTAAACAGTTTTCTTACTCTTAAACGAAAATAGATTTGTGAGTGATTTGAATGTTCTTTTTAGCTGACAAAGGAAGAAGAGTCTTGTTGAAACTTTCTGCACAATCTCTGAGATGTGGGTATTCCATTTAAGATCGATCGTTCGTAATTTGCATGCCCAATATTTTTGCAGAAAGGACAACTTCGATCGACCTATTATTAACATACACGGATGTAAACGTACGCCCAGGTCTTGCAAAGGAAATTTTAAGCTCTCTGCATTTCTCGATCGTTTAAATGAAATTTATTTGCAATTGATTTCCCTGTAAACTCGTCTACCGACGATTGGATGCTACTGGCTTCATGTTTAAGGACAGTCTTGGAGATTGTAGTATCGTCCACATACTTCCATAAATCCATATCCTCTACTTCTAGCTAGGTAATTTATCATTATAGCAAAAAGCCAAGGACCCAATTTTAGTCCCTTGGGGCACGCCTACCGGAATCAAACCACATTCAGCATAATAATCTTGGCTCAACTTGACGGTTTTACGGTCTTTGAGAAAATTAACGATCCACGCAATGATTCGCTTGGTATTTCGAAGATACTGTAGTAAGCTACCTTGTCTACGAGAATACCATGATCAAATAAGTCAAAGGCTTTTTTGAAATCAAAAAGAACGACCGCACCATAGAACCGCTTCCGTCCGTTCGTTTCTTCCACTTATGTATCATGCTTATTAGTGCATGAGTCGTTGATCGATGATTTGGGAATCGTTCCTATTGATTTCTGCCAATCTTTCTAAGGACAGCAGGTTGAACAAAATTTTCGACAACGAAATCCTCCACCACCTTTGATACAACAGATGTCAATGAAATGGAGCGTAGGTGCATGCTTATTCACGTCTTTTAGTCGATTCAATAAAACTGACGTCTGCCAAACTGATTTAATTTTCATAAAATAACTTACCTTTGCAACAGCGAAAATTTTAGTCAAATTCTTGGTTGATAAACTGCACACAACAGGAGATTGTTATAGTTAGCTATATCTGTGTCATGTTCGTATACTTTCAACCACGGGGGTTTCCAAACGGTATCCTCCGTGACAAGGGACATATTATACTGTACCACTTGGATTGTAACACTCGGCTGGAAGCAGGGCCGTAGCTAGCATGTATAGTTGGGTGTAAGCAAAAAATTTCCGAATGACGAAAGAAATTTCCGAATCATGGCCTACGAAGCCACGAAGGTGTTTTCTGTCCAAAAAATGAAGACGCTATTTACAAACAAAAATACGCATATTTTGCGCACAGACATATTACAGAAGCATGCAGTGCTGTAGGAAGCTCTTTTTGATTGTGGGGCTGAGAACGGGGACCGAAGGGCCGAGGAAATTTTTAAATTTAGAGTCTCTGAAATGCCATTTCCTGGACTTTGGGGAAATTTTGACAGAATTCAGATGGACGGAAAACAGCGTTTTAGTATGTCGAAATTTACAATTTGCTTACAATTTAGTAGTACTAAATGGGGGAAGGCGTATTTAATTAACTATATATTGGGGAAGTTGCAGGAAAGTATGGATAATATGATTCTTTGCAGTTTGTCATGGATAATGTAACCGGTTAAAATTAATCAATTGTCATTATTTTAAAGGTATATTGTTTAAATGAAAAAGGTCTGCATGATTTTGAAAAAAGAATGATTATTAGCCACCCCCTCCCCCCCCACCCTCCCGCGGTTGCTTCGGCCCTGAGAAGTAATAAACCGAAAAACATTTACCGATTTACGATTTGTTAAATGTTGTCCATGTAAATGCCTTGATCCTCTGTTTAACAACTAAAATTTTGTTATACTATTATTGCCGTAATTTTCCGAATGGCGAACCCGATTTTCCGAATATGTTAATTCTAAAAAAGTTGGGGGGTTAACCCCCCCCCCCCAATACCCCCCTTCGCCACGGCCCTGGCTGGAAGGTTACCTTGATTTGCAAAGTGATCTGCCGGAACAAAACATCGCAAAAAAACAGAAACGAGTATATAAAGGATATTAGACGGTTGCGAAGAGATATGGATTTTATGTTCGAATGGCAAAAACAATATCTCACGAGTGAGCGCAGCGAACAAGTGAGATATTGTTTTTGACTCGAGAACATAAATCCATATCTTCTCGCAAACGTTTAATGTTCTGTTTATTATATGGACTTATTCAGAGTGACAAAAATACACACAAAGACGACATTTAAATAAGCACGCGAAAGACCAGTGTAAAAGCGATATTTTTTAAAATTATTGTGCAAAAATAATACTAGAATAAATTTTACTTATCTCAAGATGTCATTTAAATGCCTTCGTTTTATTTCCAACGTTAATTTCGTTTTAAATACGTTCCAAAGACCATTTGTATTTTCAAAATAACAACCATAAAAATGCCGGGAAATTTTCGAACTTCGTATGTTACTAGCAGGGGTGAAATACGGAAAATACGCACACCTGGTCCCAGATGTAGTGAGGTATGAGTTCTACGAGTGTTTTAGTTTCCAGTAAAACACCATTGTCCATATAATAAATGGAAATACATAACAACGTTAATCCAGAATTGAATTCTTTCAGTCATAGTATTTGTTTTGTGTAAATTTAGGAGACATTGATATGATGTATTTTATATCATATGCCCGACAGAATTCCTAAAATAACCGTTCACTTGTCATATAAGAAGCTAATTAAATGGCGATGCGTTTGAAATATGTTAACGCTGACTTGCCGTAAATTAACTTCTTCATTTTAAGGCTTTGATTTAATTTATACCATCGTTTTGCTTTATCCCTGAGCTACTTCTTCCACAATAAAACGAGCTATGCGGATCGGTGCAGTTCACACACAAGAGGCGTTATGGTCTGTAATTCTACACAGCCAAACCTGCAGCGTACAAATAATTTGTCTTGTCTGATGTGAACGTAATCCAAAAGTGCACTTCATTACATTTTGCATATCACATTTGTAACTTTGACAGTTTGCACCAAACAGGGAACTACTTTTCATGAGGAAATAACAAATAGTTTTTACAAGTGGTACAGCGAATTGGGAAGTCTAATTATAGTTATTGAATTGCGTTTTTCAAACAGACGTCAATCAAATGAATCATAAAATATCATGGACTCATTAGCTATGCTTGGGTGCTTTCCTCAAATGCCACGTTCGACCAAGGAGGTAATTCGTGTTTATACGCGGAAGTATTACCGGGAAAAAGCTTGCATCAGGTGAATTATAATTCAGTTGTGAGCAGCTTGACGGCAGGAAGGTCGTCGAAATTCTGAGCTTAGCCAGAATTACCAGACTACACTGAATTTACCAGACTACACTGAAATTAGTGAGGTATTGGTTGCATGAAATTATCACGATGCGAGACGTTACTTTTATTAATGGACCTGGTTCTGTGCTGGTTTAACGACGATTTTTAGTATAAATGTTGCAGGTATATATAACGTTTAAACTGTGCCGGAATTCAGATAAAACTAAACTGAAAAACAAGACGCTTGCTAAGCGTTAACTCGAGCTAAAGGATTTGCAAAATATCTGCGTATATCCAGCGTAGTCGCATCAAGATTTATTATCGTTTTACATCTTAGCTTACTCCTTTAAAGTGCGTTATTTACGAGTTAACTGAGCGAGTTTCCTTGTGGCGTAGTGGTTTAGGCGCCCGCTTGCGAAGTGTGGTTCCCGTAAGTTACAGAGTACTAGTACAGTTTTGTTTTCAAATTAATAATTTTTTTTTAAACTTCTTCCGAGTATGATTTTGAGGTTAGGTCTTGGGATTATGAGTTAGGGTTCGGTGTCTGGGGTGGGTTTAATTTTTTTAAGAGAATATTTTTAACACTTTAGAACTAATTTCCTGACTGCCGGGGCCCGGGCACACTGCTCGACTGCAGTTACCAGTATTTCTAGACTAGTATTTCGATTCCGATGGAATTAAGTTTGATAGTTTAGATACATGTGATGGATATTTTGAATATAAACTAAATGGAGCACACAAAATATGCGAACAGTCGTTTAGTTTTGATCGAGTACACCGAATATGGGTACAGCCGTTCAGTTAAGTTTTGGTCGAGGCGCTTTTATTAGTATAGAAAGCGTACAGCCGTTTGCTTTTCGAGTCTGCTTAGAAAGCGTACAGCCGTTTACTTTTGATCGAGTACGCGTAAAAAGCATACATTCACAAACACTTGATCGAGTACGCGAGAGCAGGAAGTCGAATGAGCCATTGAACGCCAGCACGAAGAGCAGGAAGTCGAATAAGAGCTAATTAGCCATTGAATGCCAATAAGATAATCACAAATAATCACATGCGTACACGATTTGTTTCGATTGGTCAGAATTAAGAGTGGCCGCGTGGGAGAATAAGTCTTGCGCGAAAAAAACCAGACCGAAACTATAACTCGAACTGAGCTCGAGTAATGAACCCGAGACAAATCTATACGACCAAACAATGTTCAAACATTTAGTTTAACTCAAATCCAAGACCAAATAATACTATTAATCTTTTCTTTCAAATATTTGTGAAAGAAACACTATTTGAAAATTGTTGGATACTGTATTAGTGTTAAGGAAACGTCGTTGGGTCCTTTAGATGTTCAAAACCTTGCCATAAAGAGATTTTTCAATTTCGAGAAAGGTCTGCACATTTGTCGGCATTTTGTAGTGCAGGCATATAAATGAGTGAAGGAATACGTATTTTCGCAGGCATATATTTAAATATTTCAATTTAAACACAGTACAAACAGGAAAGTTTTCCTTCGGACAACTTTACTTTCTCGTGTGTACGGTCAACAAGTTTTCCTTGGCAAGTTTTGTTGCTCGTGTGCACAAAATGTTGTTAAACATTTATTATATGGTTTTGGCAAACAAAAATGCGGCCTTAGTGTGAGATAAATTATTTATCTCACACTAAGGCCGCCTTTTGTTTGCCAAAACCATATAGAAGTGTTGCTTGCACACTTGTCAAATTTTCTTTGGCGGCCGTACACCCACGAACAAACTTTCCTTGTCCAAATTCTGGCATAATAAATATTGTTAATGTTTTGCCGCACACATGCATGTGCAAATAAAACTCGACATAAGGAAAACTTGCCAGGGAAAAATTGTTCGTCTGTTTATGGGTTTTAGGGTTGATATCAAATTTTATCCCGACGCCAAACGCATCATTTAAACAAGTTTTGAGGTAGTTTTCGGTTTTGAATTGGCCTGAATTGAGAGTTTGTTGTGGTGTGTGAGTCATCAAAGCATGCGTCTTTTACGGCCCCGTTTCACATTTCATTTTCGCTCTGGACTCATGTCCCGAGAAAGAGTCCTCATCCTCTCTGACGCCCCGTTTACGTCATGAGACCGGGACGAAGTCAAACCGGGAATGAAAATTGAAATTGTCAACATGTTTACATGTTTACATGAGATCGGTACGAAAATTACAAAATTTTAAATTTATTCCCCCTTGTCATGCATGCAGCAATTTTCGTTTCTAGATGGCTTTTGTTAGCATGTGTTGTTCCAATGTCAAGGTTACAGTCGAGATCGGTCTGAAATGTATTTGTGTTTACATTCATCCCAGTCGGAATTCATGCCGGTCTGAAGTCATTCGGGTCGTCCAGCAGGCAGAATGTCTTGACAGGCAGGCGAAAGGAACGGTTTGACTTTGTTCAGGTCTCGTGTAAACGGGGCCTTAATTAGGGACCATTCATTATGTATGACCGGGGGTGCATGGGCTGGCAAAATTCAATTAACAACTATACAAAATGTCCTGAACCCCCCTGCATCCCAAAAAATTTCAATGACCCCCTTGTAACCCACCACCACCACCGATATATACATAAACACATGACCAAGCATCAGATCTACATTTAATAACTGTACTTGTGCTTTCAACAATTAATATGCATGCCTATTTAATTAATAAGAACAAACTCTGCTATTAATTATAATCCAAACTTTAGACTGGCCAGAATAATTTTGATAATAAATTCTGACTTTAAAAATTAGAATCCAGTTTTAGTGTATTTTCTACACTACAAAGTTTATTTTCTAATATAGCACACATTATGTATTTCACTAAATGAGTAAATCCATTTACCAAGTCAAATCCGAGTTCGAGTCAATTCCGAGGCCGAGTCAAACGTCCGAGTCACGTAAAAAAAGACGAAATTGAATAAAATCCACAATCGAATAGGGTTAGGTGTAGGGTTGATAAATAGGGTTACAGTGTTGTAGGAAGCTCTTTTTTAGTGGGAGAGCCGAAGGCCCGAGGAAATTTTTAAATTTAGAGTCTCTGAAATGCCATTGGCTGGACTTTGGGGAAGATTTGACAGAATTCTGATGGCCATCAGAAAACAGCGTTTTATTTTGTCGAAATTTACAATTTAGACAGACTTAGTAGTACTAAAAGGGCGAAGGCGTATTTAATTAATTAACTATATATTGGATAAGTTGCAGGAAAGTATGGGTAATATCTTCATTCTTTGCAGTTTGTCATGGATAATATAGCCGCTTAAAATGAATAAGTTGTCAGTATTTTAAAGGTATATATTATTTAAATGATAAAGGTCTGCATAATTTTGGAAAAAGAATGATTATTAGCAAGGTAGATCATGATGAGCAGAAAAGGAGAGCTGAGCTACAAAGAACGTTTGTTGGCCTTGGACCTTCTGCCGTTAACCTTCGACAGAGAGGTTAATTAAGGACTAGTACTTGGTGTAACTGTACAAGGCTTTGTTTGGTCATGTGAATGTTGATGTCAGTAACTGTGTCTCGTTTGTCAGTCACGGTCTAACTCGGCTGAGTAACACCTCAAAGTATACATTCTACAAAGTCATATTTGTAGAACAAGCACTTTTCAATCTTCGTACTATAATCGTGTTGTCAAACTGTGGAACATTGTATGTAAAGATATATGTTTGGACACTGTGTCTATAGTCCTAGTTCTTTTAAATGTCCAGTTAAAGGTAGATACTCTAGTATTTTTTATTCTATTTATGATGTTGACTTGTCATATACGTGGTCCTTGTTTCGTGACTGTTCGTGTCATAGGACGTAAATTATGGTGCACTAGATGTGTGTGGAGTTGTGTCTTGTGTGTGTAATGTTATAGAAATTAGTTTTAGTAACGTTTGGGAAGGTATCTTGCATAGTTGTTTGAGTCCCGTTTATACCTTAATTGCCCATTTATGGTTTATATTCTATTAATAGTTTGATTGAATATTTTATATGTTTTCTTTGTAATATATGATTAATTGACCCCAATAAAGATGATAATAGTAATAGCGCTCCCGGTTCCTACAGCCCTGGGTTAGGAGTGGGGTTAGGGTACTAAGTCATTGAACTACAAAGACCGCTAAACACATTTTCGTACCCAGAGCCCTTCTTACGCGCAGTGCAACGAGGGGCTCTGGCCAAATCCATATTCCGAAATGGCATCTGATTGGCTAGTTCTAACACCGGATATTGTTTTCTTACCATGTTTTTATGGTATCCGGTTATGGATTTGGCCAGAGCGCCTCGTCGCGCTCGGTCGAACGCGCGTAAGAAGGGCTCTGGGTACGAGAATGCGCTAAACAGTGTCTCGGACATTGACTCGGGCTCGGATTTGACAAACATGACAAAAATTTATGGCAAGTTCATGGCAAAAGTTATAAGATTTTGGGTCTATCTATTGATTAAAATTGAGAATTTTAATTGAGGATTTTAATATGTGTATAAATATGGGCCAACAGATGGATTACCCGTCTTTTATTATCGGTCAATAAATGAATTAAGACGAACTAAAGTGGATTATTCGTCACGCCGAATAATTTGCCAGCGTTTGTAATAATTAGTATATAGGGATCAACAATAAAAATCCCGAATCCCGCTTGCTCAACTCTTAATTTTCCATTATCACGTTTGTAAATCTTCCTGAATCCCCCGCGTCCCGTGACGTCCAGAAATTCCCAATCTCGTTCATTATTTTTCCTTGCATCCCGTTTCTTGTTACCAAAATGAACCTTATCGTGCGTCCAGCAAAACCTATTGGGGACGCTCGGTACCCGATGCTGAGTGCACTTAAGTACTCTTCACTCTTGAGGTTAAAAAAATGAGAGAGAAATGCATATTGGAGGAATCAAACTTCAGTCACAGAGGTTAGAGACACAATCACGCATTAGGGGCTATTTACATGACCCCGGTTTGCCGGGACGAGATGGAAGGCGGGATGATTTTGATGTATTGAAAAAAGTCACTATATATAGGCTTAACGAAAGTTCATACGCCAGTTAAAGAAATGAAATTTTGGCGAGAAGACCTCACGGTTCAAGAAGATTATACTTGCTGCTTGAACAACTTTCGTTTGCAATTATGCTATAATCTATATCTCTAGGAAAATAACATAGTTTTGCTCGATCATGAACCGTGACTTAGTTTAATACGTCAAAATTGTCCAATCTCACATCTCGTCGAGGAAAAGCAAGATCGTGTAAACATGCAGCACCTCATAATCGCCGTGTAACTAACAGCATTATTCCACCAACTGACCAACTGAAAAACATTATGAGTTTAATATTTTTCTGTTTCACTCTTACAGGTGAACATCATCTTCAAGAAAACAGGTACAATACATTGCAAAAATACCTGAGTATTTTCACTCGAAAACTTGAGTAAAGAAATGCACCCACAGTTACTCATTTTTTGGTAAAGTAAATGTTTACTCAAGAAATTGAATTTTTTTAAAAATAAGTAAATTTGAAAGCTTATAATACGATAATATATACAAAATACGAAAAATATGCAGGGGCGAAACTTTTGTTACAGTAATATTTATGTAAATTTATCAAAATGTTTCCTACAACTATTACCTTTCAATCCAAGACACTCAAAAATTTTCAAATCTGCCCGACGAAATTGTATGGATATACCCGACAAGAATGAGACTGGGTGGTGTCACCCCAACCGGTTATTTCTGATAATGAATAGAAATGAAGTAAACATGGAATCAACCTGCTAAAATCAATGCTTTATTTCAAAATAGTCAATAAATTTTCACAAAATTCTTGTAAACTGTGAAGAGGCCAAAAAGAAGCCAAAAGGCCGAACACTTTTCGAGGCCAAACGAAAGAAAGAAGCAAAAGTCGAAGCCAATCTGCCAAACCTGGTTGTTATAGCAACACTTGACGCCACAACTCGAGCCTGCGTTCAGTGTTGGCCAATTGCTCTTACTTCATGTTAAATCAATGTTTGGAAAATATAGGCAACGGGTTGCTGCATGCATGCATGCATGCTATATAGCAAAATGTTCCTAACACATTTTTCGTGCGTTAATTGTTGTCCTGAGTATCAGGTTGAATTATCCATTGCCAGACACAAGCTTTAAGAAATGTTTCATGGCGGAGATTTTACAACTGTTATATCTTAGTGTTAGCTCAATCTTTGTATAGGACGTGCATTCCTGCCGAAGCTGAACCAACGCTAAACTCGAGCTCGTGTTATCCTTTGGTAAACTTTACCCGTCCTTTTTGTCAAACTCACGGCGTCACTTTACCCAATTACGTATTTAAGACTACATACCATCAGAATGATAAAAATGATCAAATGAACAAGGAATACGACGGATTTGTGAGGCTGGGCGCACCAAAGATAAGCCGCATTTTAAGAGTGGACATCGCCACTATCAGAAAATGCATGCGATTTGCCAGAATATACATGTGTCATCATTATTTTCCGAGTTGTGATCCAACACAAAGCGTGTTTAAGGAGCAAATGATATGTCGTGAATCGTGTCTTGGACTTATTCATGTCTGTCATGAATTGTGGGAAATTTATATAACGTATTCAAAAATTCGCTCCCCGGGGAAAAAGAAACTCTGCAATCCTCTACAACTGCAACCGTATAGGAATGCTGGTGACTCTCCAGAATGCTGGTATTTCAATGGATTCGCAAACTACACAGGTAACATTAGGAACCAGCGAAGCATCCAGAGTTGGTGAGACCGTGGGAGGATTTACCTCAAATTTGAATTTCGACATTAGAACGTGTGATAGTGCACCAGTCGCGGTAGCTTGCCTCAAATAGGGGTGGGGAGCAGTATCGGGCGTACTCCGGCATTATATTTTACATTTTATCATGACATTTTTGTCAATTTCCCTACTGTAAGATAACCATATTTGGTCAAAGTATGTCAACTTTTCTGCCTAGTTATCATTCTAGTGGAAACAACAAATTGAAGCACCGAAGTATCTGCAGAAGTAATAGCAAAAACGTTTAAAATTATCTAGTGAATACTCAAATTTCCATAGATTTGCATCATTCTTCTAATGCATTCAAAATTCCATTTCACTTTCCTTTCAAATGTCATAAAATATGGAAATATCCATAAAAGTGGAAATATTCTCCACTCGCTCCCAAGTCTCACGACAAAGAAAAAACGAAAAACTAAGGAAAAGTGACTGATGATGTGTTGTAGTGATGATCAATCATCCTGATCCTTGCATGGGCTACATGTAATTGTCAAATTGCTAACCCTATGCCCAATATCCCCGTAGAGTTTTTTCCACATTGATAACAATTGTAATACCAGGTTGTGGAAGAAACAGAGGGGACTGGGGTACTCTCCCAGAAATGTTTTATATTTTTGAAGCTCCAGACTGCAGACTTCAGACTGTTGGTAAATAAAAGCTTTATCAGCATGACTATAAATTTACAGTATTGCTAAAACATATAAAAGTTATAATAATATATAGAAAACTATGGTAAACAAGGATTGTACAATTTACCGCGCACCCCCCCCCCCTCCCACTCCCCCAGTATATCCATTACTGTATCTATGTTCATTGTAGTTCGTTTTTGCTCAATTTTAGATACAACTCCCGTTCCAGAATGGTCTATAAATGCAGGTAAGCAACTCAGCGAGTGCCAAAATCAAGTTTATGTTAAACCTAATTATAAATTTCCGAATTAGCCAGGGGCCGAGACAGCCTGGGCTGTTGAAGGAACAGTGGTTCGAGAAAAGTTCGATATCTGCGGTATGCAGCTGAAGCCTACTAGTCAATCTTCGAATGAAGATTAGACATGCCAGCCGCAAACATTTTAAAACTTCAGGCTTAGATGACTAATTAACTTCATGTAATGTCCGAGCGAACTGAAGGTGGGCTCGGGAAACTTCCAGCCACCCGAGGTGCCTCAGTAGTATAGAGAATGGGGGTTCTACATCCAGCATGAGCTCCACCTTTGAATTTACCATATGAGTAAATTCTTAAACACGTCCGAATTTATCATTATGATAAATTTGCGGCACTACATTTTGAATTTATCATAATAATAAATTCGCGGCACCTAACACTAACCCTAACCCCAACCCCAACCCTAACCTCTAGCTACTAACCCCTAACCCCTAACTTTTTAAACTTTTTTAAAAGTCTAACTTTTTAAACTTTTTTTGCTTTTTAAAACTATTTAAAAACTTTTTTAAAAACTATTTTTTTGAAAATCCAGAAAATATCCATACCCCGCACGATCAGCTTCCCTTTTAGTGCCATTACATTTATAGCAAGAAGTCTTGTCTAATGCTTGTGGTTTTACGATTAACTCTATTGATCAATTCAAAAAGTGCCGCGAATTTATCATAATGATAAATTCGGACGTGTTTAAAAATTTACTCATACAGTAAATTCAAAGGTGGAGCTCATGTTGCGCCGGTTTGAGAACGGGAATCGTTAGCCTTTGCTTTCATTCCTGTCATCTTTGATGACAGTCTCAGGCACAGAGTGTAAAGTCGCCCAGAAATAAAAGATGATCACGTACAATCAAAGTAGGCAAGTAAATATAATTTTAAAATATAAAATTCATTACAAATTTTACTGTGTAGTATATTCTATAATTATATTTTTACTATATACTAATACACGTCTGGGCCGCCTGTGATAATACTCTAATACTCTATGATGAATTGCTGAACCACACATATGCGACACGTGCGTGTTTGGCTTTCTAAATATGGAAATGATTATAGGGTTCAGAGGACATGGAAAAGACGGAGTGTGGAGTATGGAGTGCGGAGTACGGAGTCTGTCAAAACATTTATATTTCTTAAAGATTGGATTTTAATGCGACTCCGCCTTTTCCACCTTATGGGCGCATTAATTAAGTAGAAAACGCGAAGTTTATATCTTAATGCGTCTCCGCGTTTTCCACTTTACGTCCCCATACACTTGCGATATCTTTCTCAATTTGAAACTTTGCACTATCCTTGGATCCCTAGTTGTTCTTCGGGGAAAAGATTTTTGACAAAATTCCCTCAAAACCCTTACGCAACAAAAATTTCCGCCATCTTTTTCCTCAACCATGGACCCTAGCTTACGTAATGGTCCATGGTTAAATAGACAATCAGAATGCTGGATTTGTAATGATCCGGCAGGGTTGAGTGTATACTTATAAGGGATGATCCTTAGAGAAAACAGTTTAGAGCTGATGGAGCTATCCAGACCAGTACAAATAAAGTTAGTTTAGTTTAGATTTCCTCCTGTAGTAACACCGAATCAACTTGTCAATAAGGGATGAGCCCTTCAGGACCTCCAGGGAGGATAATTTAGAGCTGATATAGAGTATCCATCCTAAATAAAGTTAGTCTATTTTTTATAGATTTCCTCCTGTAGTGGTAACATTGGGTCTAAATAGGAGTGGCCCTCTCTGGAGAGGTCAAGAGAGAAGAGTTTAGAACTGACAGAGAATCAGTAGAAAATAATAAAGTTTGACAAGAGATAACATTACATATGTACAATGCATAAAAATAACTGTAAATAATGTTGAATCACAAAACTATAACAGTGAGTCTAGACTAATAATCATCTTTCCACACAGATTGTCTGTATTTAAACGGCAGCAGTTACCATGGCAACATATCTGTGACAGCCTCAGGTATTCCGTGTCAATCATGGACAGAACAATGTCCACATCGTCATACCATGAACAAAACATATCCAGAACTAAATAACGCTAAGAATTATTGTCGAAATCTTAAGAACTCAGGACAACGACCTTGGTGTTTTTTAAGTTACCACAGACAGGAAGAAGAGATGGGAGTACTGTGATATCCCTAAATGTATACCAGGTATATAGAGTAATATTGTACTGTTATATCCCTAAGTGTACACCGTGTGAGTTGATGAGAATTTTTGAAAAGTAATGCCCAGTCAACTCTCACCAACTCTCACGTAACTCTCGAACTTGTTCTCGTTTGATCGGGACATCAGATTTGATCAAACTCTCCTGCAAAATCGCACTTGCTCAGGCCTGCAAATTAATCGGACATTGTCCGGCCAAATTTTGCCTTTTGTCCGATCAAAGCCTTTTGTGACCGGAAATGTGATCGACCGATTTAGGCCAGTCAATTAGTCATAAAAATTAGGCTAGTCATAAAAAATTAGTCTTAACAGTTCTTGAAAGGAATATAAACAACGTCCATTGCCTCATTAAGCCGTAAGATTTAGTTACCAATTACAAATTAATCTAAATCGTCTTCGCGTAGCATGGTAGAAATTATAGTTATGTATAACCTGAACCATAACTTACTGATGATGATGATGACTTACTTTGATGCCGATCGACCAAGAACTTGGAAATCTTTGTGTACAAAGTGTCGCTCCTTTGACATTACTTGTTGTTCGTAAACGTGTAAACTGTAAAAATTAGTATAAAAGACAAAAGACGGTTCTAGCCAAATAACACTTTAAGTTAGATTAATAAACATGTAAATGTTATGCATGTTAGTAGAAATAGTTTTTGTGGGACTTAATTGGATCTTATTTAAGATCTGTTGTCCTTTTCCTTCAATCATTTGTTAATATATGTTATATTGATTGTAAAGTTAATAATAAAAAAAAATAATAGAAAAAATAATTCATTAGGGACCGCTCATTATTTATTGTACAGGGGGGATTGAGGAGAAACTGGGGGAGCTTTAAATTTTTTAAAACCTGTAGGGGGGCCTTTGATAAAATACAGAGAGATAAAAGAAGGGGGGCTTCGAAAATATTTACCAGTTTGAAAATACATTAGTAGTTTTAAAAATGTATCACAAAACAACTTAACAAATAACAATGTTTGTAGACCTTCAATATTCATAAATGGAAGCCAAATAAAAAGTCTCTTATGTTCATGTAAATAGACAATCCCCATTATAGACTAATTTTAGAACTAGGCAAAGAGATGCACGTCAAGGCCGGATTTTGGTGAAAATAGTGGGGGAGGTGGAAAAAAATTTTAGGGGAGGTGCAGCGGTCTAGCTGACAATTCCCATGGAAAGTTAGGGCTTATTGTAGAACAGGCCAATATCAACGAGGTGAGGTATGCCTGTAGTGTACATATATACCAGTGTATTAATGAATTATGAATGTATATGACTCCAATCTTGCCCTTCATTACAATTGCTACAAAGTTTCTTTCAAAACATTGCATTAAAAGGGTACTTGACACAGAGATGAATGGCTGTCACTGTTTCAATTTTACAGAGAAAACTTTCTTACGTCACGAAGTGTAGATCCTAAGCAACCATCACATTTTCACTTTGTTCCATCATTGAAACTTTCCCAAGGGGGAGGTGCATGATGACCTTTCAGGAGAGGTGGAAAAATTCTCAGGGTAGGTGCAAAACGATCTCAGGGGAGGTTCGCATCTCTCCACACCTCCCCTCAAAATCCGGCCTTGATGCAAATAAGTCACCACAGCTAGAAAGAGCATACTAAAATAAGTAAATTATTGCAAAGTTTGGTTGCAAAATGTTGTAAAGGCGGAAAATATAGCTTTGCAAAGTTTGCAAATTTTGTATACTTTTGTATTGCATGCGAAAATTGCAATACAAAAGTATACAAAATTTGCAAACTTTGGAAGGCTATATTTTCTACATATTTTACAACATTTCGCAACCAAACTTTGCAATTTTACTAATTTTAGTATGCCCTTCCCGGGAATATACTTTTTTTGCTAAGATAAAAAATTAGTCTATAATGGGAATTGTCTATTGGTCCCCGTTATCTATTTTTGTTTCTCTAAATAAAGAGCTAGAGTTTTAGTTTCTCTAAATAAAGATAAAGAGCTAGAGGGGGGACCAAAATTTATGTTCTTGTTTTGCCTCTTGGGAGGGGGGGGGCTTTGAAAATTTTACTTGTCTTAAGAGGGGGGCAACGAAAAAATATTATAACTGTAGAGTTTCTCCTCAGTCTCCCCCTGTACAACAAATAATGAGCAGTCCCTTAGGATTGGTAGTCTGGTATAGAAGATAAACTCAGTTTTAGATGAATTACATGCAGTGCAGGTCAACATGGCCAGCCAAAGTTTTGTCTTGCCGGCAATTTGCATGTCCTTTCAAACAAGCGTGCAGTTGCAAACTCTTATCGACTCCAACATTTTCGTTTCACCAGGGCTTTAATCAGAGTGGATCCCATAAACCAGTTATAGTTAAATTCACCAGCGAAGAAAATGGAGACACATCCCAAGCCGAATTAGTTGGCAGTATATACGAGCATGGTCTGAAAATAATCGAATGTCCTCAAATATGAAAAAGACGTATGAAATGGTTGTTAGGGGAAATGTTCCTATGCCGTTACACGATCCTTTTCCAATTATTGAAAGAATTAAGGACATGGCTAAATATCTTTGGAATTACAATAAATTACAATATCTCCTTTGCAAACGGGATTTACAATTTGAAGAAATGTTGAAAAAAGCCAGTGCAAGAATGTACATAATGCGTGTCTGTAAATGCTATAGTTTCCCAATCAAACAATTAGTCATGCTGTTTAACAGTTTAATTATGCCTATATAATCACCTAAGGGTTAGAACTTTGGGGAGGCGCATATTTCATTAAAAACATCAGTCAAATAGAAAAGATAAAGAGATATTAATAGAGGCAAGAATAAACTTTAGGATAAAATAATTCTTAATATATAAAGATAATGCATTCCTGGAAATTTTGCCAGATAAATCAAAATGACACCTAAGGCCGTGGGTACACAAGTTAGAACTTCCTTTAACAAGAACAGAACGATTTAAAAGTTCTTATGTACTGTTTAAACAAAAGCAAGAGTGATTTATCAGATATAAAACACGAGAGCGCAGAAGCTACGATGGTTTTAAATGGCTAATAATATACAAGAAAATGTAACTTGACTGTGATTGGTTGGTTTCAGTGCATTTATAATCCCAAACAGCAGTGAAAATATCTGTAACAACAGTGCAAAAATCTGTAACAACAGTGCAAAAATCTGTAACAAACTGATCTGATTGGTGGAAAAACATTGTGATGATAAAATCAACCAATCACTTTAAAGCAGTTTAGTTTAAAGAAACGAATTAAGGTACCATATCATGATCAGATTTACTAAGCTTTTCATTACTTTGACTTTTTCCAATCATAAGGAGCGTTCGTAATGAAGACATCGACAGTATGTTTTGACCAGGGCCTTTTTTAAGGATTTTCCCGTGGGGGGGCATTTTTTGAAAAGGGATCTTTCTGTGAGATAATATATTAGAGGGGGATAGCAATGGCTTAAAGCCACGTGTGTGGAAAATATACCACGCATGAATGGGTGGTCTGGGGGTGTACTCCCCCAGAAAATTTTTGAAATTTGACTCCCGGAAATGTCATTTCGTGCATTCTGAGCATCCAAATTTGCTCCAAAATTTATCCTAACTATACTTGTATTTGAAATAAATAAATAAAGGAAGAAACGCACAAAAAGTAAAAAAAAATTAACCATCATTTATCATTACTTATTAGAGGAGGATAGCAATGGTCAGGTGTGTGGGGGTGTACTCCCCCAGAAAATATTTGAAATTTGAACCACGGAAATGCTATTTCCTGCATTCTGAGCATCCAAATTTGCTCTAAAATTTATGCTGTAGTTGTATTTGAAATAAAAGATGGGAAAATGAAAAATTGAAATACAACTGTAGTTGTATTTGAAATAAAAGATGGAAAAATGCACAAAAAGTAAAAAAGAATATTAATTGTAATTTATCATTACTTATTAGAGGGATAATCCCAAGAAAATTTTCGAAATTTGAAACCGTGAAATGCTATTTCCTGCACTCTGAGCATCCAAAAAATAAAAAAAAATATTAACAATAATTTATCATGGCTTAGTGGTAAAAAAGTAACAATTTAAATCGATTTTGTTAAACAAGAACAAAGGATAAAGCCTAAAACTTACTTTCCGTTTATCTATTTGTTAATCTTCGCTGGATTGTTTATATAATTTTAGGAAAAAGGGACTTTTCCTGGGGGGGCAAAATGTGATTTCGTGGGGGGGCACAAGGGGGGACTGGGGGGGGCAAATGCCCCCCCAGCTTGTATGTTAAAAAAGGCCCTGGTTTTGACCCTTGTGGGAACTTGAACAAGTTGAGTGAACGACAGCTCAGTGATTGAGCAGATTTCGAATATTTAATTTATTGATATCGCCAGCAATGATTATCTTGGAATTTGGTTAAACAGACAGTATATGTTCGCATGTGTCTATCAAATATTCAAAGATTAGGTCATTCTCATTATAATCACAATCAGGAGGGTGGTATATAGTTGCAACATAGACATGCCATTTGAGTTTTGTGTGACAACTTTTGTCTATAAATATTCAAAAGGATTCTCTGAGTTTGGCATTCCACGCATCTTCCAATCGTTTCTACTGATAGTCGGCAACACCGTCTTTTCTTATGATAGAAAAACCAGCGCGACAGACAAGATAATCAGGTACTATTGGTTCCAGCCATGTTTCGGAAATATAACAATAATGCGATAAGAGTTGGCGGTCAAACACGATAAAAAATTGCAACCAGTATCACCAACTACTCGTTTCACCCGGGTTTGTACAGCATCAGTAAAACTTTACTACCTTTGTTTAGTTGATGGTAACTACGGCAACTGGTCATTAAACAGTTTATGTTCTGTAACTTGTGGTGAAGGTTTTGGAACATGGACACGAGAATGTAGCAACCCTGAGCCAAAGTAAGGTGGAAGAAACTGCAGTCATCTAGGAAAACCTGTTGCCTACAGACCATGTCTGGCAAACCCTTGTCCTGGTGAGCGAAATCAATTTTTTTATTTAATGACGGAAAACCTGCGGAAAGATTGTCCTCCGCTCTCCCGTCCTCTGCATCTCTTCTTTCATCCCACTTTCCCCCTCTTCACGAATACTTTATCCTCTTTACCCTGCTTTACAACACGAATAGAAGCACAGAATAGGATTAATCAATCAATTAATCAATCAATAAATCAAGCCTTTGCCAAAAGAAAAATAAATAATGTAACATGGTGTCCTTTCATAAAAATCCTCTTCCAAGGAGTCGTGTAAAAAAGAAAACTACAAATCTAAAACTGTACATGCATTTGAAATCAAATTTGATTATTATATAGAATCAAATTTGATAATTATATAAAGCATTCCTAAAAGACTGGATTGAAGTCCTATTTTTAAATCATCAGAAGGATCACTCAACAAAACTCTCATTCAAAAAGAACATTAGCTAAAAACTCCTCTTGCAAGCTTTCGCTCGAGGTCGATGTGATATAGTATTGTTTAATCTTCTTATCAAAAGCATAAAATGGAACAGTAACTCAGCATTAGAATTATGTTAACTTAAATAAACGAGTCAACTAATTAATGAGTGCTATTTTTATTATCATATCTTTAGTTGACGGTGGTTACAGCAACTGGACTTTAAGCACCTCGTGCAATGTTTCATGCGGTGATGGCGTGGAAACATGGCGACGATTTTGTAACAATCCTGAACCAAAATACGGCGGTCATAACTGCAGTGGACTTGGGAACTCAACTGAGTTAAGAAACTGCAGCAGAAAGCCATGTCCAAGTTAGTTTCCAAGTACAAACAAATAAACTAACTTTTTAATATATACTGTATGTTTCTATAATTTCCGAAGTCTTCTTCCTAAAAGTGCAGTAAACGTTTTTCACTATAGCTATTGATCCAGTATTACTACAGGAGGAAATCCAAGTTAAACAAACTTTATTTATACTGGATAGTTCTATCAGTGCTAAATTGTTCTTACTGAAGGTCACATGCGGATCATGTCTTACTGGTCTAGATGAAAACCAGGAGTAGCTGAAATAGGTCTGCGGTTTCTGGCTGAAAGCACTTATTGGCCTGGATGGAAACCCGGAATAACTGGAATAGATCTGCGGTTTTAGGCTGAAAACACTCTTCTTACACATTCTAGTCACATAGGTGCAAGACACCAGCAAGACCTTCTGTTTTTGTAAACGACCGGTTTACGTGTGTTGTGGTTATAAAAACACGCACATGCATTGCCCTTTACCATTTTATCCTTATCCATCTCTGTTTTCTAGTTGATGGTAACTATAGCAACTGGACAAAGTCGTCACCATGTAGTGTCACGTGTGGTCAAGGTGTTGAAATATGGACACGGCGGTGCGATAACCCACCTGGAAAATATGGCGGAAATTGTAGTAACCGGGAGGCGGCTCAAGAAATTCTATTGTGTGAGATGGAACCTTGTCCAAGTGAGTACAAACAAATAAAAGAATATTCATTCTGGTTCCCCACCAGGGACGTATCGACCGGGTGTGTATGTGTGGGGTGTAACCCCCCCCCCCCCAACTGTGAAACTCGAGCAAAAGCAAGTAAAATTCAAGCTAAAATTTTGACAGTTTCAGGTAAAATTTGCGTAATAAATTAATTAATTTTGTGAATCGATAACCAATTTTGTAAAATACATTCAATTTACATCCAATTTGTTTGCAAATTTGGTTTAGAAAACGCCAGAAATTCAGTTATAGAGCTTCAAAAATGTACAAAAATTACCCCCCTTTTCTCCCGAAACTTAGCATGACAGTGCAAATCAATCACAAAAAGGCTTTGTTAGAATTATTACACTTCAGGTAAATTTTTAACATTGAAATTCAAATTTCTGGTAAAATCCTCCGACCCCCCCAACTTCAGATCCTTCCCTACGTTCATGTTCCCCACTACGTTCATTTCCTAATAACAATAGCCCAACTTTACTTCATTATTCTCTAAAAATTGGTGATGATTCCAAAAGACGATAAAGATCAACTAGCAAGGCAGTTCGAATTTTTGAGAACGTGTCAAAATAACGCGTTCTTGGTGGAGATAAAATTATAATACTCTTTTCGATAATAATTATGTACGAATTTTTCCTTGGTATGGGAACTTCGCTCTCATGAATCAGCACGAAATTAAAATTTACGAGTGCACTAAAACTTGGTTAGTTCCAGCCTAAACCCTAATTATTAGGTTTCAGGCCGGAACTGATAAAAAAATTAGGAACTAGACTATAAAGTTCATTCAATGATGAACCTGAACAAAATATTTGAACAGATGAGTTTGATCCTGGAAAGGGATAAGTAACATAATTGTCAAATGAACTCAGTTCCGCCTACCCTGGCAGCAGAGGCTTTCTTGTGTCAGGTGACAAGGCGAAGGAAACCTCTTGGAGCGGCAGGTGGAATTGCATTTACCTGACGTAATTTATTAATATATATTTCACGCTTGCGGTCTATTTCCAAGCTAGGCTACTCTGCGTCTGAGTGCAGGCTACATGTTCAGCGAAAGAGGAAACCCTCTGATCCAGGGTAGGTTACCTGGAACTTTTAAAGTATAGGTTCTAGCGCTTGCGTAACAAAGCTGATGACAATGAGGAGTTCTAGCTGCTAATGACCAGGCGCCGGTTTTACGAAGGCCCCATAACCTTCGAATGGTGAATTTTTCAACCTTTCTAAAATTGTCCTAACGGTAGTATGTGCAAACTGAAGTTTTATTTTACTAAGGGTTCATGTGGGTACTTTAGTTGTTTTTGAAACAGTTTTACGGTTGAAAAAAACAATATCCGATGGATAGCCTTCTCTGGTCTTCATAGGCTACAACCCGCCCCCTTGTATTATGTAGTTTGCAAAAAGTGTTAATATTATTGGCGCGACAAAGTGGAAGGTGTTAAAAAGAAGTAAATCTTCATTCAAATGAAAAAAACGATGTTTAATTTAAAAATTTTAGCTCACTTCGACTCCCAGATGATTGGTATCACCACTGCTGCTGCTGTTTTTGTGATGGTTGTAGCAGTTGCATGTTTTATTTTCATTCTTAGAAGACATCGTCGAAAAAAAGGTGAGATTAAGTTCTAATTTGATTTTTATTAGTCTTTCTACAAGATCTCCATTTTGGAATTTGAATTCACTAGGCTCTCCTTATGACGCCCGTTTGGATTTTTTACTGCAACATTCCCGCGATGCTCAACAGCTGGAAGGCAACAATACTTCAGGAGAAGCGAGTTCATCACAAGAGGCTGGCACTAGCGATAGATATTGGAACCTCACAGTTGACGGGAATCCTGTCCCAGGGCTCTCGCGTGGGGTGGTGCGCTACGGAAATGGCTACGGAAATGATTACATGAACACAAGACCCGCGAGAAATTCATGGTATGATAAACTTCAGGTAATTCGACCATTAGCTATGGAGTGGATTCGAAACGTGTGGGGGAATATCGACGAGTTTGGCCGCCATGTTTATGACGTCATGCACCACGTCCGACATGTTCCTTCCCCATACGACAAGTTGGGCAGAATAACTCATGTTGACTCGGCTGGAAGTGGAATGGGGACGATCGCGAGTAATAGTACTTACGGCACATTGGAAAGAGGCGCAGCAGTTATATTGCCTTCCGGAAGTGAGTGCTCGTCAACGACAGAAAATGTTTAATCTATCAGACTATCGGAAAAAAAACAGTGATATATCTCATCTTATCTACTCTTAAAGATTTTTTATGATTAAGTATAGTGCTAAAGAGTTTAAGTCAACCTAGGAAACATTTGTTAGAAAGATTTGCATGTGGTAACAGAATAATGCACGAGATCAATGAAACATTAACATTTTCAGATATTTTCCCCAGGCATTTTCCCCGGGCATGATCAAATTTTTTCAAAAACATCCGGAAATTTCAAAAAAGAAAGGCACCTTTGATGTTAATTTAGTATTTACAGCGACATTAGCTTGTACAAAAAGGGCACTTTTCATCACAAAAATGGCACTTTTGGTCCTTTGAAAAAATGGGGGGGGGGCACGTGCCCCCTGTATCCCCCGGTTCTTACGCCCCTGGTTTCTAGCTTTTGAGGCAACATTTCAATTTTTAGTTTAATTAATGGCTTGACGCTCTTCGACGCAAATCCGCGTTTCTATATTTGCCAAGATGCCAATTTGCTTTTAATTAAATAAATATATGAATGTGGGTTTTTTCCAATATATTCTTTATTTATTCCCCGAACAAACGGCGCGGAGCGCGGGCGTTAGCCCGGCGCGAGGGTACTAATTCCGCCCGGCTATTTACACCCAACAACTTTTTATTGTTCACAACAACAACAACAACAACAACAACAACAACAACAACAACAACAACAACAACAATTAACAAAACATTTTGTTTGTGTCTATAAGCATTTTTTACAATTTTTATCACACTCAACAGGAAAGAAATCCATAATTGCAAGACACCTGTTGCTTTTAACCACCTTAAATAACCACAATGGGCTAACTTAATAAGCAACCGTAGAGGTATATTATTATACACATCAATCAGCTAACTGAAATAATCACAAAAACTAGTATTTTATAAATTTCAAAAATGGATTAGCTGACAGATACACAACAAAACAAATCATCAAAATGGAACAAAGTGACTATATATATATAATGAGCTAATATTTATCAAACATTGCTGTAGTAATCTTTTTTTAAAGCGATATAATCGATTCATTCAATCAATTCCAAATTTCTGGTCATATGATGTTTTGGCAGAAAGTCTGGTATTATAATGATGTATTTCATTAACTCTAACGAAAAAATCATCAAATGTCATGCAGTCGTAGCATATTTTTATGATATTTAAACATAAAAAAGCATGTATACAAATATGCTATGTCAGCAATTTTCAGCAGTTTTGTTGACTTAAACAAAGGACTTGACGGATCATCAAATCTAGAAAACGTCATGATGCGAACAGCATTTTATGTAAAATAAACAACGGATTGATGGTTATTTTTTCTTAGGTATTACCCCAAGCCACTATACACCATATATGGATAAATTAAAGTATGGTTCAATTTTATAAGGCAGCCTAAATCAACATAATATTTGCTCTTTGAAAGCAGGCCAATTGATCTTTTAATTTTTTTATTAAGATAATTTACATGCTCTTTCCACATAAGATTAGTGTCAATCATCACCCCTAGGTATTTAATACATCTGGCTTCTTCAAAATTTTATCAAAAATTTTATTCTTACTATTTAATGAAAATAATAGGACCAAGTACCGTCCCCTGTAGTGCATAACAGGAAATATTTGAATACTCTGAGTTAATATCTTGTATAGAAACAAATTGTTTTCGATTAGTTAGGTATGACATAAACCAGTCTCTCGCAATGCTTCTTATGCCATAAAGTTCTAATTTACGATTCAAAATACCATGATCAACAGTATCGAAAGCCTTACTGAAATCAAGAAAAATTCCACATCAGTATCTTTGGTTATCAGTTCATCTTTGAATAGTATCAGTAATGCACAATATTGCATGCCATTGGTCTGTTGAGTGATTAGATCTAAAGTATATTCTTTTCATATTTCATATAAGTATTATTCTTTTCATTTGTGATAAAGTATATTCTTTTCAGTACTATAATTCACTAACCGCTTATGCATTAGTTTCTCCAGCAATTTATTAAAAATTGAAATTAATGAGATTGGTCTATAGTTGTTCATACATGTTTGTGATCCGCTTTTATGTATAGGTATATAGTTAACCCTGGCAATTTTAAATTTACTTGGTACGATACCAGCTGAAAATGAAAAATTAAATATTATTTCCAAAGGTTTAGACAGTGGTGTTTTAAAAAGTTTCAACATTTTTACAGGACTACTAAAAAGACCGATTGATTTATTTGAATTTAGTGCAGCAATTTCATTTTCTATTTCAGTGGAAGTAACTGATGATAAAAAGAAACTTCCTGCATCTTGATATTTGAGATAATCATACAGAGACGTTTTTGCACTTGGTATTGGCGCCTCTGCCAGTTTCATACTAATACTTGAAGAAAAAACTGTTAGCTATGAATCTCTTATCAATTGTTTCCTGGTCATTGATGATCAATTTTGAAGGAGCCATCTTGTTTCGGTTATCATTATTACCCATGATCTGATTAATACTACTCCATAATGTCTTATTGTCATTGTTTATAGTGGAGAAGTAATTATTATACTAGACTAGAAATACATGCATGTAACACCCCCTCGCCTATATAATTACGCCAACACTAAATGCAGGCTCGCGTTGGCACGTCATGGTAGTCATGGCAACACGATAATTGTTTTTTAAATTTTTTGTACAAATCTGCAAAAAGTACTAGATGAAATTTGAACACTTTTAAATAGAGAACTATCAATTTCTAAAATATATAAAGTAGGTATATTATTCTTAGTGACGATCATTAATTATAGGGGGGAGGGCTGGTGCAAAATGGGGAGGGTCACTAATTTTCATGCAAGGGAAAAAGGGGGGTCATGTAAATTTGTGCAAGAAAAACCATAGCAATTTTTTTTAATTAATGACATTTTAATAAACATTCAAGAATAAGCAGGACAGTTATTATTTTATTAAAGTAAATGGGATCTTTTGGTTTACTGATTCCTTGTTCAAGTAACAGTGTATATAACACAAGCATGCCTAGGATATTTTATAACTAAAATAACAAAGTACAATGATAAACGTGGATCCTCTAGGCGGCAAAATTAACACCTGAACTATATAGCTAATGATTGGCCATATCGTATCATTCATGCATTTTACTGTTTTGGCTTTGTCATATATGTGCATATTTTAGTTATTACTGTATACTCATATTTTTTATAAAATCAAACCCTGAACGGTTTAATAATTAATTTTTATCCCTCACAGATCACTTATTATTGCCAACACTACACATTATTGCCAACACAACATTATTGCCAACACTATGATCACACTACAATATAAATCCTACTCCACCCTTATCATCACAATCATTCATACTCACTGTACTATTGATTCAATCATTCATACTCACTGTACTACCTCTAAAAGGATCTGTCATTTGCGCTACTTCAAAATTAACTGAGAAGATGAACAATAAAATATGTGGTGTTGGAATGTCCCGCACTAAATGTGCATCACTTTGGGGAAGGGTCAGAAAAAAATGAGTATGGTATATTTCATTTGCACCAGTCCTCCCCCGCTATAATGAATGACCGGTCCCTTAAATGTGAATTGAAAATTGAAATTAATTACTGCCTTTTGCCGATATATATAAACTCTTCAACTCGAGCTTCAACTTATTACTCGCACTTCGAACTGAAATAAATTTAATTCGTACAGGACGCTTATGAAAATAATTTGATTCCTTTTTATCATGAACATCTACAAAAGTTAATTGAACTAAGAAACGTTCGCAAACAATGCCGATAGCTTTCAAAAACTGCAAAATCATGAACAAACTAAGTCTATATGACAGGGTGTTAGCTACAGTAAAAAATTCCGCGTTAAACGCGGTTTTCCCAATATTACCTTGAGGTCGCAATTTCCCAATTTGGGTCAGCCAAAAACTAGTTATAGATATTCAATGTTGTTAATACGCCATTAAAAACATGTTTATAACTACATGCGGGAAATACCATTTCAAAGACACAAAAATTTTAAAATCGAGAGGGGCAACCGCATGCCCCCAGACCCACAAAGAAATGCCCGGCTTCAAGCTAAAATAATTTCCCAATTTCAGGTGAACGCGGATTTTTTTTTACTTCTGGCTAACACCCTGTATGAATACAAAGCCATAGGCCTACATAAACAATTGAAACAAACTAGTGCCTGCCCTATACTTTAGAATTTCTCATACTAAATCAATTCTTATAAATGTTTACGTTTTGTTATGTGAAACGATTTTCCAAGCTTCGCTAATTCTTTCGTTTCCCCGGGTGTAACTAGCCGGGTGGTATTAGTACCCTCTCCGCGGGCTTACGCCCGGAACGGCAGTCCAGTAAACGAATGACTTAGGTTCGACAAAATTCGTAACAAAGCCCATTCACCTTAAATTTGTTTATATGCGTCCAAATAGTACACACATAAAAATCCACCCGAATCCGACGATGGCAACCTCTTCATTTCGACCATCCAAAATCCAAGATGGCCGCCAAATCCAAGATGGCCGCCATTTTTGAACAAAAACCAAAATAAAACAGTTACACAGTTACACTTGGTGGAGTTAAGCCTCTAGGCATGTTTATTGCCTATCAGTACATGTAAAACCGGCATTGAATCGAAATCTGAGCTTGCAAATCATATGTTTTTTAAAGTTGTTAAATCCAAGATGGCCGCCAAATCCAAGATGGCCGCCAAATCCAAGATGGCCGCCGTCAAGCTTATTTAGATATGTATTAGGCACCATTTTCCACAGAAAAGCAAATAAATTCCAAATACTAGATACTTAGATTATTTAACATTATTTTCATGCGTAAAATCTTTTTATAAAAGCAATAAAACCCATTTACAAGGGGACAGCTCTTCGTATAAAAAAGGACCGTGAAAGACACTGGAAATGATTTTTATTGCTCAACTAAAATGTGTTTCTTGCGGGCTTTATAAAAGTGTGCCAGTGTATCATACCGCAGCTCTTCCTTG